TCCAGAGTCCAGTTTTCTTACGGCGAGGAGGGGAAGAGTGAAGTTAAGGAAAATATCCTACCAGGCGGGTATCTGGTGTTTTAAACTTGGTTTTAACAGCACCCTGTGTGTTCTTTGGAGAAGTTGAAATTGAATTGAACAGGAAGATGGCATATATGACAGAAGAGAGCAGTGTACGCCAAGACTAGGAGGTAGGAAAAGGTCACTGGCAGCATCCAATGGCTGGAGCTGGGAGTTTACATTCTAGCGTTTTCAGGACGGTATGCAAACAAGAAGCTGAATAAACAAACAGTGATATGGAATACACACACACACAGTTAACGGAGGGATGGAGGAGAATGTGTTTAGTGGCTAACAAGTTGCTTTCTCCGAATGGTCAGGAGCAGTCTTTCATCGCGGTTTTCCGTCTTTCGTCGGAGGTGACAAATAAAATGACCAAAAGTACCGACCGTACAAAGATCCGGGGCAAAGAGCTTTCCAGTGTAGAGCACAGCGGTTGCAAAGGCCCTGAAGTAGGACCTAGTTTTGCACGCCAGAGGAACGGAAACAATGACAGTGTGTTGTGAGTGTAGGAGGTGCTGGGAAGAGAAAGCTGAACGAGGAGGGGGTGGTGGCAGGTACTGTAGGGCCTCCTTTGCAAGGGATGGAGTTCATATTTAATTCTGGACATAATGGGAAGCCATGAGAGAGATCAGATTTTTTAAAGACCAGACTGAAGCAATCCAGTGTTATATATTAACATTAAAAATATACATACTGTATATTTGACTCTCTATATTGTCTGTCTCTTCCCACTAGAATATGAAATCCCTTGGGATTTCTTAAAGCACCTCCTGTATGCTAAGTACTGTTCTACACACTAGGAATATAGCAGGGAAAAACAAAACAAAAAAACCATAATAGAGACAGCCAAGGTTCAAACCTTGGCTCTGCTGCCTACCAACTGTGTAACAGTAGGGCATGGCACAGCAACTTCTTTGTGCTAAAAGGGAGATAATAACAATGCTCCCTCATGGGGCTTTACCGACAATTAAATGATTGATAATTGTAAAGAGTTTAGAACAATGCCTGGCCTAGTAAGTCCCAGGTATATTATTATTTTAAAAATAAAATTAGATGTGTGTATACAAGCATACCTTGAAGATATTTCAGGTTTGGTTCTAGACCGTGGCAATAAAGCGAGTCACATGAATTTTTTGGTTTCCCAGTGCATATAAAAGTTATGTTTACACTATACTGTAGTCTGAAGTGTACAATTGCATTGTGAAAAGTTTTGAAATATTGTGAAAATTACCAAAATGTAACACAGAGACACGATGTGAGCACATGCTGTTGGAAATGGAGCCAGTACACTTACTCAACGCAGGGTTGCCACAAACCGTCTGTTTGTAAAAAGTGGAATATCTGCAAACCACAATAAGGCAAAGTGCAATAAAACAGGGTATGCTTGTATATAAAACTTTTTTTTAATAAGGAAAATAAATAAATTAATTAAAAGATCACCTCCTCGGAAGGAAGGTTGGGCAGTCTATTTCCGTAGTGATACTGCCTCGGAAACCCAAGGAGGGGTCGCTATGAGTTGGATACAACTTGATGGCAGTATGTTGCATTTTTTTTTTGTTTGTTTATTGGCTGTTTTGAGGAAAGCACACTGCAGAAGGGAAGAGCGCAAACAGGGAGACCAGGAAAGGGGCTCCTGCATCAGTCTCAGCAAATGATGATGAGGAATTAGACATAACTCAGTATTTACTTTGTGCCAGGGACTGTGTGAAGCAAATGACATGACTTGCCTCAGACAGTCACTGCAATACTCCTATGCCCCTTACTTTTCAGCTGAGGAAGCTGAGTCCAAGAGAAATTAAGTAACTTCCCCAAGGTCACATATGTTCCCAAGGTCCCTAACTTCCATCTAATAATACTCTTCCTGTTTTTATTCAGTGCCCCACAAAACTTCCAGAAAAAAGTCTGAGAGGCTTCATTCCAGAGCCATTAAAACCAACCAAGGAATGTTTATATCAGGAATATGAATGGAGCTTTCTCACAGACAAGACAAAGAGCAAGGGAATAACTCAGATGTCTTACTCCCTGAAAGATGAGCATCTCCTGAGTACAAAGTCTGTCAGAATTAAGAGTTGGGAAATAGGAGGGGCTAGACCTTTGTGGCCCATCCCAGACTGGCCCCTTCCAACCCCTAAACATCCCTCAACACCTTCTACACAGACCACAGCTCTCTGCGGAGGGAGAAATCCTTTAGTGTTGGAATGCATTGGGGACAGTGATTGCCAGCTCCAGAAATGTTTCTGAGCCACTGATTCAGCCCCTCAGAAACCACCCCAGGTTCTGCAATGCACATCCACAAGCTATGTGAGATCAGATTTTCTGCTGCTGAGTCAGTATCCCCCACTGTCTGTACTGAGCATCATCTACTGTCAAGGAGCAACCTCATACAGAAATCTAAGCAGCAAGTGGCTAGATAAGGAAGTGTGCAAAGCTGAAAGGTAGCTGGTCCCACCACAGAGTCTGTACAATGTGACATTCCTACCTAAAGACAATGAGAAAGGCCACCACCTAGCTGGTGAGTCATCATTACAATTGCTTTTAAAATATGCTTAATCAAAACTATGAAAGTGTTGCCAACTGTGAGCAGTCATTTTGGAGCATGAGGCTACAGGTGAAGTTGGCAGCGCAATTGCACAGGAGCCACATCTCTGGTGACCTGGGAGCTGCCATGCCAGCCCCAAAATACCTGCCTTCGAGAGGAATCCCCTTCAGTCCTTTTGAAGCAACTGTTATTTGTGGTGGTGTTGGCATGTGCAGCCAAACTGAATACTAAACAGTGCATCAGACTTCTCTGACTTGACCTGTGTGAGTGTTAGTAAACAAGAGTCATGTGAGGCCTGTGATGGTGAATGGAGGACATACTGGAGTGCATGAGGGCAAGGAGAGGCAAAGGGTGATGGAATAGAGGTGAATAAGGAGGTAAAATGGAATGGACGTGGGTAATGTGGGGCAAATTGGAGAATGACTATGCAGTCAATTTTGAATAAATTTGACATAATGGGGGAGACACTACTAAGTAGGAAAATGAGGCATAGTCTAAGCAAAAAAAAGTGGGAGCAGATTGTGAGTGAATGTTGTTGATAAAGCATTAGAGTTTGAAATATGAGGTATATAGTATGAATGAAGAGTGGTGAATTTAGGGGAAAATAAAAGTGATAGAGGTAATGTGGGGCACAGAGGGAAGACTGGGATGCACAAGGGTCAGATTAAGAGGGAATGAAAAATTATTACTCGTGTTATGTGAGTAAATGTGATTCTGGGTCAACGTTGTTTAGGGAGGGATTCTATAAGGGAGGAGAGTGAACAGAGGTGAATGAGGGCAGACTGATTAGCTAGGGGTCATGCAGGCAGCGTTCCAGGAATGCAGAGGATATATGAATCCCAGTGTGAATCATCACAAGTCACTGAGCTGAAAAGTGTGCATGAATGGAGGTAGTGTTGAGCAGAATGAGGAGGAATAGATATAAAGATCAAAAGGTTAGTAAATGTGGGTATTGGTGCAAAGGAAAGGAGCTCTGGTGGTGTAGTGGGTAAGGCATTTGGCTGTTAACCAAAAGGTTGGTGGTTCAAACCCACCAACTGCTCTGTGGAAGAAAGATGAGACAGTCAGCTTCCATAAATATTTACAGCCTTGGAAACTCAATGGGAGTTGCTGTGAGTCAGAACAGACTCGATGGCACTGAATTTGGGTTTTGGTGCATGAATGTGGAATGGAATGTGAGTGACATGAAGGTAATAGGGGTTATATCAGTAGTGAATTTAAATGAATAAGGTAATAAGAGGCACAGTGAGAGTAAATGGGCAATGAAGAGAAAATTGGGAAAGAATGGAGGTGACCAAAGGTACACTGAGTATATGGGGATAACTTGAGATAGTGTTTGATTGGAAGTAATAAGGGGCAGATTCTAAGAAATGAAGGTAATATGAGGGCAGAATGTGAGAAAATAGAAGTGAATGAATGGCAGAAAGGGTGTGAATAGGGATAGTGAGGCCGAGAGTCAGTGAACAAAGCTGAAGGATAGACCAAGTGAGAGTGAAAAGGATGCAGTGTCAGAAACTAGAAGGTAGGAAATGAGGGTCTGAGTGAGAATGAATGCAAGTGAATAAGGAATAGGATATGAGAGAATTAGAATAATGATAAGTAGATGGATGGTTAGAGAATAACAGTAATATGGGGTAAAGTGAATGAGAGGCAGAGTAAGTGAATGGGGAAATAACAGGTAGATGGAAAATGGAGGTGAAAAAGCAGTAGAGTATGAGGAATATATGTAATTTGCATAAGAGTGTGATTGAATGGAATACAATAGAACAGATTCCAGTAAATTAGGATGGAATGAGGTATAATAAATGAAGAGAGATAAATGAGGTGCCAAGAATGAGTAAATGGAGGTAATGAGGGACAGAGAATAAGGAGGTAGTGGTCGTATTTTGCGAAGCATAAAGAATTAGAAGAGGTGTAGGTCCAGTGTGAGTGAGCAGAGCTGACTACTCAGTAGAGTGGAAGGGAATACAGGCAATAAGGAGCAGAGTTAATGGAAATAGAGCATGATTAATGGGAATAGAGTGGGAGAGTGTTCAGGAAGGGAGGGGAGTGTGGGCGAAGAGTGAGGCTTAGTATCTGAGTCTTGTCTGTCCCTTGCATGTCCCCAGCCCCCACCTTCCTGCATCTCTTTATGATATCTCTAGAACTCTCCCTGTCTTTGTCTCCTTTCTCTGTACATATCTCAGCATCTTTCTCCTTTTGTCTCTATTTCTTTGTCTCTGGCAGAGCTGTCACTGGGGAAGGTGGTGAGGTGCCTAGCCCTCCAGCTTCTGTGTTCCAGAATCCATCGCTCAGATCTTCATTCATAGAGCCCAGAGTTCTAGAATGCCCCTGATTCTGAACACTGCAGGGCGAGTTTGGAGCAAGGAGTCAGCTACGAGGGCTTGTGGATGTTGTAATGGAGACCTGGGGCACTATAGTTGCAATCCTGGCCACACTGATGGTTGCCACTGTGGATGCCAAGATCTATGGACGCTGCGAGCTGGCAATGAAGCTGGACAAGGCGGGCCTTAACGGCTTCAAGGGCTACACCATTGGAGACTGTGAGACTCCACCTGCCCTGGGTTTTGTCCACATCCCAGGCCAGCTACCACACTCAGACCCCAGGCCCCCTTTGTCATTTATTACCTCCCTAGGTTAGGGCTTGACCCTCTTGGTCACTTTCTAACCAGCTGTGATGAATGGGTTAAACAACTCTAATGTCATCACTATCATTGCCTTCACAACCATCACTTCCATCTCCACCATCAACATCATCAATTTATCACCACTCTTATCACCATTTATGCCATCACCACCATAATCACTGATACCTCACCAGAATCTCATCACCAGGCCAAGATCATCACCCTCACAACTGAGATGCCAACCATCCCTATCCCTATCCCCCTCATCTCAGCCCCTATTCCAGGTCTCGTGCGTTCCTGCTACTTCCCTTCCTCCCTCTGTCTCAGGGATATGCATGGCACACTATGAGAGTGGCTTTGACACCTCCTTCGTGGACCATAATCCCGACGGCAGCAGTGAATATGGCATTTTCCAGCTGAACTCTGCTTGGTGGTGTGACAATGGTGTTACACCCACCTGGAACCTTTGCAACATGGATTGCCGTGGTGAGGGACCACTTGGTATACTCTAAAACCTTCTGACCCCACTTTGTCACACAAAGAGGACAAGGTTGTCTAGGCCATAATCTTCAGCAACAAGCTGAAGAAAAACAATGGGGGAAAGGAGCAAAGTTGCTTGGGCTGTTAGAGATACCATCTGATATCATTATCCAGACTGCACTGAGGTTGTCTAGGTAAGGAGGGCTTAGAGCACCAAAGCTTCACCCAGAATGAAAGCTCCCATTTTCTGGGTCTCAGGAGACTTAGCTCCATGTAAAATGGAGAGAGAGATTATCCTGATTTGAGGTTGGGGTTGTTCAGCATAAGCAAAGATGATGGTTGAGGTTGTCCAGGCCCCGAGGGAAGAAGCACATGTCTAGCTGTAAACTACTTCCATGTAGAAAGGAGAGAACTTGGTTTCAGAAAGAGTACAGTGTTGTTGAGGACAAAATAGTAGTTGAATTTATTCAGGGTTGGCTAAGATAGTGGTTAAGATTGTCCTAGACAGACTAAAATGGAAACTAAGGTTATTTGGGACCAGCACAAATGGAACTTGAGGTTATCCAAGTCCTGCCAACATAGCAGGTCATCCAGGATTGGTCAATTTGAAGGTTGAGGTTTCCAGGACTGACCCCCATAGAAACTGGCTTGTCTAAGGCAGGATAACAAGAAAGTTGAGATAGTCCAAGATTAGTTAAAAAGGATGTCGAGGTCCTGGATTAGTCAACATGAAGGTAGAAATTATTTATAACCACTCAAAATGGCATTTAAGGTCATTAGGGATTAACCAACATTAGCAACTGATATGTCCAGGACTGGTCAAGATGGTGGTTGAGGTTATTATTAACTAGTCAGAATATCAGCTGAGGTCATCCTGGTCCAGTCAACATGGCAGTTGAAATAATCTAGGACCAAACACCATGGAGGTTGAGGTTGAACAGAATTAGCCAACATGGAGACTGAGGTCATTTATAACCAGTTAAAATGGGAGTTGAAGTTATCCAGGAGCTGAGATCATAGTGTTTGAAGTCACCAGGACTGACCAACATTGCAGTGGAGTAATTTCCCAACCAGTCAACATGGTAGTTGAGGTAGTGTTGAACCAGCCAGCACTACAATTAAGATCATTCCAGACATAACCAGACAAAATGACAGTTGAGGTCATCAAGAACTGGCCAACATAGAGTTTGAGGTTATCCAGGACCAACCAATATGATAGATGAGGTTATTGAAAATCAGCCAACATAATAGTCAAGGCCATCTAGAATCAGTCAACATATGCTAAAATTGTACAGAACCAGCTAAGATGGCAGTTGAGGAAATTCATAATCAACTGACAAGTGAATCAAGGTCATACAGAATCAGTCAATGTGGCGGTTGAGGTTATTCAGGCCCCAAGGAACCCAGAACCTCTGACTTTCCTCCATACACTGTCATCATATCTCCAGTGTACAGAATCACCATGTCCCTTTCTTCCCCCAGACCTGCTCAACCGCCATCTTCTGGATGACATCCTGTGTGCCAAGCAGGTCGTGTCCTCAAAAAAGGGCATGACTGCCTGGTAAGTTCATGGGAATGGCCTGGACCCTGGGCATCCTGGCTAGTAGCACCACTGCCCTATCAGCCTATCTACTTCATCCTCCTTCCTTCTCTTTATTTCCCAGGGATTCTTGGACTCACCACTGTTATGGCCATGATTTATCTGAATGGATCAAGGGCTGTAATATGCATGTAAAAATTGACTCAAAGAAAATCAATTCATAACTCAGATCCCCAGAGACAGAAATTTTCTTTCTTTTATGGATTTAATAAAGGATGGTATCTGTAAACAGTGTAAGAGATCCTCTGATGCCTGACTTCTTTCAACCATCCAATGCCTGGAGGTACCCCCATTCAATCATTTCCCTCATATATTCAAATCTCTAATCCGAGGACACCATATCACTTAGGGGGACAGGATAGTGTTCTCCTAGGTTAAAATCCCAGCCCTATCAATTATTAGTTGTGTTGTCTTGGACAAGGAACTTAATTTTCCCGTGCCACATTTCCTAAGCTTAAGATGAGGATGATAATGATAGTAACTATCTCATGAGGCTGTTGGATTAAATGACTTAACATTTAAAGCATAGAAAGTAGTTGGTACACAAGACAGTTATAGGTCTGGAGATAGAGGGGCAGGGGTGGGGGGTCTGAAAGTTGACTTCCCTTGAAAAGAATCACTCAGTTGAAGTCACCATAGGGTCTTTAATCAAGGCAGATACCTCTCTTCAGGGGAAAATGGAAATGGTTTCAGTTTATATAAGAAGCTCAGAATTAGCAGTTTAAAGTATTAACACTCTCCTACATCCTCCCACATATTATCATTTTAATTCTCAGTGCCCTACAACCTCCTCTTTCAAGATAGATGTCCATCCTAAATTTCAAATGACAGACTAGGAATTCAGGCCAGGAATACAATGGATGCATATGGTAATAATTCCTTTTTACAGAGTGCTTAGGTTTCAGTCTATATATTGAGCAGAGAATCTAAGAATTTGAACTTGCCATTTTTCTCTCTTTGTGCTGACAATACCCACTGGAAGCCAAACCCCACTATCCTTGAGTCCTTCAG